TTGGCCCCTAGAGGCTCAGAAGAAGTCCCATGAGGCCTCCAAATGGCCCGCAACATGTTTCACCAATGTTGTCGGGAAGCCATCGAGGGATTTCGCGGGAGATCCCCGCGGGGTCGGCGGCGCAGCGTGTTCTGAGAATCTGCAGCCAGGAGGAAGTCCATCAATATCTTGAAGTGGCATGTCCCGAGAAGGCCAGGGACGATCGAGCGCACGTTCTCCAATTGATTTCTAAGCTTCCGCCCGTCTTGAAGAGACCGGACACCGCGACGGAGCAGGTGGCAGCTCTGCTTGAACGGGCGGCTATGCTGCATGGCTTTGAACCAGTGAGGGAACCGGTCGTGGAAGGTCCGGCCGCGAGGCGGAAGGTCACTGCCGCTCATGTTAGCACCCGAATAAATTGCATGGTTGGTTTTGTTGCCCCACAGGGTTCCGCAGAGGATGAGCTTTTCCTTCAGACGGGCCCAATTCACAGTGCGCTGGAAAGCGCGATCGATCACGCCCCATGTCCGCAGGGACTTGAAATGGGCGCACACGATCAGCCCCAACAGCGCGATGTTCGTGCCGTATGCGTCATCGGCGGCCAGCGCCCATTTCTTCACGACCTGAACGTCCATGGCGTCAGGGTGGCCCAGGGCGGCAGCGGCAATTGCGACGCTTCGTGGGCCACGCACGCGGCATATAGTCGCGCTGGAAACAAGAGCGAAGGAGAACGGGTTTGGGGGTGCAGGCGGTCTCGGGGCAGCTCCGGCACCGCCCCCCAATCAGCACCGTTGGGACTTATGAGCGTGCTCGAGCCTGCACAGTTCGAAGAGAAGAGGAAGACGGATAATGGGAAGAGCATAACGAAGCGGCAGAGAAGGAGGATATGTGAATTGGAGCATTTCCGACACCACAACACAATCTCTGACGGGCTGCGCCCATCCACAGGGCGTCAAAATTCCCCTGGATCTGACATTTTCCAAAGCAGACAAATATATCTCTTGCTTCTCTACAGGTCGCGTGTTCATTGTCGACTCTTCGGCGCAGAGGCGCGCGCAGAAGCCGCGCGGCAGAAAGGGTATCTTCGGCAGAGGGGTGAAAGCAGATGGGGTCAATCCATCCTCCTTGCCCCGAAATACCTTCTGCTACCAGGGATAACGACGGCGTAGATGGGTGCGCCGACCGCGTTAGCGGCGATGATGAAGATGACATTGATGACTTTTCGATGTGAAGATGACATGCACGACGGGGTCGAAAGGCGTTGAACACGCGCAGGAAGAGGGGGGGTTGGTACGAGGCATATTTTCTGACGATCGTATGTGTATATATCCACGTTGTCGCTTTCGCGACGGGCACGTGCCGCGCTCCTGAGCGAGCAGAGGCGCCGGGGAGGGAGGGGGCTCGGATGGGGTTTCGGGTCGGGGGGGGGGGGGTGTGCAAGAGATTTAATTTCGAATTCCATGATGTGGTGTTTCCTCCGTCTCCTGCATCGCCGATTCTTCCCGCCCCTCGACCCCGGGCGTCTCTGACGCCCAGCGGCTGCGGAGGATGTATCGAGCACTTTTTGCGGGGCATCGCGTAATATATAAGTTCTTGCATGAACGGCGCAGATCGCATACGATCTGCGCCGTTGCATGCAGGATCTGCGAAGAAGGATTGTTAATGAGCGTATGTCGCTTGATTTGCTCGTGATCCCCGCGACGTTCTCCAGAAATACGGCGGGGCGCGGCTCCGAGATCGGGCGCGAGGAGGGCGGGGGCTGAAGCGTGAACCTTGCTGTCGGAGGAGACTGGGATCGAGGATCGAGGGCTTGCAAGGAAGGGTTGATGTGTGGATCGGGGGCCGAGGGGATGGGGATCGACCGGGAATCGACGATCGAGGATGATCGAGCATCGACAACGATGCGATCGGGGGCCGAGGAGGACGTGATCTATAGGAGGCAAGTCGCGAGGAGCAAGGGTCGAAGAGGAATGAGGAGGACGATCGCGAGAAAGAGGAAACGGCGATCGAGGGCCCAGAAAGAAGGCGATGCGCCCGCGGGCGCGTTTTTTTTCGTGCCTCATGGAACTAATCGGTACATCAGCCTCACTAGGATTTCGCTCGCGCTGGTGCGCTGGAACTTCTATCGGCGATCGGTGGGGATGAGGAAGGAGGGGGGGCAGGAATAAAGAAGGAGGAGGACGGGCGGGGTTCGACGAGTTGAAGGAGGAAGGGAAACTATATATAAAAACATATATGGTGTCGGGCCCGAAAACCTCGTCTCGTCTCGAGAGGAACGCGTCGCACAGCAACAGCGCCGTGTGTTCGCCTCCTGGGACTGTGGTTCCAGGGGCGAAGGGGGAAGCGGCGCGCGCCGCTCAGTGGCTCATTGGGCGTGCAGACGCTCGCTCCGAGACGGCTTCCTCCCCCTCCTCCTCCTTCTCCTTCTCCTCCTCTTCCTCCCCCCCCCCCCTACTCTTATTCCTCTGCCTCTTCGTCCCTCTCTCCCTCGGATGTTGTCATGGTGAAACGGGTGGCGGCTCTGCGGCGTAGGGAGGTCGCGGAGGGGCTTGGAGGTGAGGATCGATGAGGAGGAGGAGGGGCTCGGAGGTGAGGGTCGATGAGGAGGGACTTGGAGGTAAGGATCGATGAGGAGGAGCTCGGAGCTGGCGGCCCCCCCCCGCCCTCGCGGAGCGTCCTTGCCGCGCACGAGGCGGCGGCCCTCCCCGCCCTCGCGGGGCGGCCTTGCCGCGCACGAGGCGGCGACCCTCCCCGCCCTTGCGGGGCGGCCTTGCCGCGCACGTGCGAGGATCGAGGAGGGGGGGGGGAGGGGCGAGGCGGCGGCCCTCCCAGCTTTTGCGGGGCGGCCGACCGCTCGGCGCTGGTAGGTACTTGAGGACGTCGATGGGGCGCAGCCTGCTCACGTCCACCTTTTGGTCAGGACAGTATCCCTGCACAGCGCCTTGAGGTTTTGATGTCGTAATTCGGGTGGACGGTCTCGAAGAGTCAGGCTTGTTTGGGGACGGCCGAGAAGTCGATAAATTTGACGAAGATGATTTCCTTCCCGGGCGTGTATTTCGTCTCAAAATGGGAGCAAGAATCTTGGCGGACTCCTTCCTGCTCGTGTTTCTGCTCGATCGTGAGCAATTGCGCCCACCTTTCAGTTCGGATCGCAGTCTTGCACCGCGCGTGCTGCCCCTTCTCCATGTCGCAGCCCGTCTTGTCCTCGCAACAGTAGTATGTGTTCATTCGGTTTATCGTTGGCAAGGAACTGGTATGAATAATCAAACATCAACTGGCATTGGGGGCAGACGGTCTCGGGGCAGCCCCGGCAACGCTCTCCAATCAGCACCGTTGTCACTCATGCCGCCGGGCTCGAGCCTGCGCAGCCTGAAGAGAAGAGGAAGTCGGATAATGGGAAGAGGATAACGAAGCGGCAGAGAAGGAGGAGATGTGGATCGGAAATCGGCGAGGATCAGGAGGACAAGGAGGAGGAGGAGGAGGAGGAGGACGAGAACGCTCCTTTCAGATTCCCTTGAGGCCTGCGGAGTTCCTCGGGCTTCCTCTCAGATTTCTGCAGGTCTCTGCAGGCGTATATATCTCAAGCGCTCGGAAATCCGAGTTTCGATTGTCGTATTTTTTATGTGTTGTGTTCCTCGCCGTCGTCGGCTTCCTCTCTTCCCTGTCGTCGTCGTCGCACCAGTCGCCTTCGCCCCGTCGGCGCGGCGGCGTTGTCCGATCGGCTCGCGATTGCTGGGGGTCGTCTCCGTGGGGCCTGAGGTGCTTAGCAGGGTAGGTACAACACCAGATGATTCGACATAGCGCGACATGGTTCAACATAGCGTAGTTGTCGTCCTCCTCGTCTGGTGTCGATCGTCAACGACAATCGTCGATCGTCGATCTGAGCCCGACTCGAGCCGAGAGAGCAATCGGGCTCTTGGTTGTGGGCACTCCGCTGGACTCCGTGCCCCCCGCCGCGCCCTCCTCGGAGTGGGAGCGCCCGCAGTAAGAGGAAACATATCAGTTTGAGTGGGAGCACGAGCTGCGACAAGAGCTTGCGACAAGAGCTTGACCTCTCCCTCCTTCTCCCTCCTCCTCCCTCTCCTCCTCCTCCTCTTTCTCCTCCTCCTCCTCCACCTCCTCCTCCTCCCCTCCTCCTCCTCCCCTCCTCCTCCTCCCTCCTGCTCCTCCTCCTCTTCCCCCTCCTCATCATCATCATCCTCCTCCTCATCTCTCTCCTCCTCCTCCTCCTCCCATCTCCTCCTCCTCCTCCTTCTCCCATCTCTTCCCCTCCTCCTCCTCCTCCTCCTACTCCTCCTCCTCCTCCTCCTCTCAAAAGCTATGTTTCCATGCACTGTTTCTACCGAGTTTCTGGCGGCACAGCGGGTCAATCCTTCGTCGCGCTTGAGCTCTCGGGCCGCTCGATGAGCTCTCGGGCCGCTCGATGAGCACACGAGTGCAGATGGACTACAGCAGAAGCGGCACGTGTCGGCGAGTCGCGTTGGCCGAAGGCCCACGGTCACGCGGCTCAGTGGCCCATTGGGCGTGCAGACGTTCGCTCCGAGATGGCTTTCCTCTTTCTCCTCCTTCTCCTCCTTCTCCTCCTCTTCCTCCTCCTCCTCCTACCCATATTCCTCTTCCTCTTCGTCCCTCTCCCCCTCGGATGTTGTCGTGGTGAAACGGGCGGCGGCTCTGCTGCGCGTGGAGGTCGCGGAGGGGCTTGGAGGTGAGGATCGATGAGGAGGAGGAGGGTCTCGGAGGGGAGGATCGATGAGGAGGGACTTGGAGGTGAGGATCGATGAGGAGGAGCTCGGAGCTCGGAGGTGGCGGCCCTCCCCGCCCTCGCGGAGCGTCCTTGCCGAGCACGAGGCGGCGGCCCCCCCCGCCCTCGCGGGGCGGCCTTGCCGCGCACGTGTGAGGATCGAGGAGGGGGGTGGGGGAGGAGCGAGGCGGCGGCCCTCCCAGCCCTTGCGGGGCGGCCGACCGCTCGGCGCTGGCAGGTACTTGAGGACGTCGATGGGGCGCAGATTCCTAACGTCCACCTTTTGGTCAGGATAGTCTCCCTGCACAGCGTCTTGAGGTTTTTGATGTCGTACTCCGGGTGGACGGTCTCGAAGTGCCAGGCTTGTTTGGGGACGGCCGAGAAGTCGATCCATTCGACGAGGATGTTTCCTTCCCGGGCGTGCAGCGTCTTGAGGTTTTTGATGTCGTACTCCGGGTGGACGGTCTCGAAGTGCCAGGCTTGTTTGGGGACGGCCGAGAAGTCGATCCATTCGACGAAGATGCTTTCCTTCCCGGGCGTGCATTTCGTCCCAAAATGATAGCAACACCCTTGGCGAATTCCTTCCTGCTCGTGTTCCTGTTCGATTGTGAGCAATTGCGCCCACCTTTCAGTTCGGATCAGAGTCTCCATGTTGTAGCCCGTCTTGTCTCCGCAACAGTAGTACGTGTTCATGCGGCCATTATCGTTGGCAAGGAACTGGTCTGAGTAATCAAACACCAACTGGTATTGGAGGCAGATGGTCTCGGGGCAGCCCCGGCACCGCTCCCCAATCAGCACTGTTGTCACTCATGCCGCCGGGCTCGAGCCTGCACAGCCTGAAGAGAAGAGGAAGACGGATAATGGGAAGAGGATAGCGAAGCGGCAGAGAAGGAGGAGATTTGGATCGGAAATCGGCGTGGATCAGGAGGACGAGGAGGAGGGGGAGGAGGATGAGGAGAACGCTTCTTTCAGATTCCCTCATATTCACATGGAATGCGAGCTCGCGCCCGTCACACGTCATCACCGAGACGCGCACATGCCGGCCCGGGTGCCGGGGCCCCTCGCCGGGAATAGCGTTTTCAAGCGCATTTGCGTCTTCACCCTTTGGTTGCGCAATTGCGTCTTCAAAGCGATTAGCGTCTTCATCTGCTCGACCGCCCCTGGCCAATAGAGTGTTCAAATAGCGTCTTCGTCTTCAGGCCTTTTGGGGAACCACCCAACAATTCAACAGGACCACCACAACACTACACGTAACCACCCCCAGCAAGTAAACAGGACCATGCAAAATAACAAACATGACCACCCAAAAATCAAACAGGACCACTCAAATCAAGAACAGGACCACCCAAAAAAGTAAACAGGATCATCCCAAGAAGTAAAGAGGACCACCCCAGAAGAAAACAGAACCACACGTGAAGACGAACACCCTAGAAGTGCAGCGGATCACGCCAATAGTAAACAGGACCACCCCAAAGACTAGGCAGGATCATGCAAAGGCCTGGCCCGGCCAAGGGCGAGGGCCATACCATCGCCCCCTGGCTCGCGCCCCCCCCCCCCAGCCCAGGTCGTGGAGGGGCTTGGAGGCGAGGAGTGATGAGGAAGAGGAGGGTCTCGGAGGTGAGGGCCGATGAGGAGGGACTTGGAGGCGAGGATCGATGAGGAGGAGCTCGGAGGTGGCGGCTCCCCCCGCCCTCGCGGAGCGCCCTTGCCGCGCGCGAGGCGGCGGCCCCCCCCGCCTTCGCGGTGCGGCCCTGCCGCGCGCACGTGACGATCGAGGGGGGGGGGGGGGGGGAGCGAAGCGGCGGCCCCCCCAGCCCTTGCGGGGCGGCCGACCGCTCGGCGCTGGCAGGTACTTGAGGACGTCGATGGGGCGCAGCTTGCTCATGTCCACCTTTCGGTCAGGACAGTCTCCCTGCACAGCGTCTTTTTGATGTCGTGCTCCGGGTGGGCGGTCTCGAAGAGTCAGGCTTATTTGGGGACGGCCGAGCAGTCGATCCATTCGACGAGGACGGCTCTTTTCCCGGGCGTGTATTTCGTCCCAAAATGATAGTAACATCCTTGGCGAACTCCTTCCTGCTCGTGTTCCTGCTCCATCGTGCGCAGTTGCGCCCACCTTTCAGTTCGGATCACAGTCTTGCACCGCACGTGCTGCTCCTTCTCCATGTCGTAGCCCGTCTTGCCCCCGCAACAGTAGCACGTGTTCATGCGGCCATTATCGTTGGCAAGGAACTGGTCTGAGTAATCAAACACCAACTGGTATTGGAGGCAGATGGTCTCGGGGCAGCCCCGGCACCGCTCCCCAATCAGCACCGCTGTCACTCATGCCGCCGGGCTCGAGCCTGCAAAGCCTGAAGAGAAGAGGAAGACGGATAATGGGAAGTGGATAACGAAGCGGCAGAGAGGGAGGAGATTTGGATCGGAAATCGGCGTGGACCAGGAGGACGAGGAGGAGGAGAAGGAGGAGGAGAACGCTCCTTTCAGATTCCCTCATATTCGCCGGGAATGGGGCTCCTCGCCGGGAATAGCGTCTTTAAGCACATTTGCGTCTTCAAACGGAATGGCGTCTTCAAGCGCATTTGCGTCTTCACCCTGCGGTTGCGCAATTGCGTCTTCAAAGCGATAAGCGTCTTCACCCGCTCGACCGCCCCTGGCCAATAGCGTCTTCAAATAGCGTCTTCGTCTTCAGGCCTTTTGGGGAACCCCGTGTGCCATCTCAATGTATATATATAACTCGGCCCACGCCACTCTGCCAGATACAAGCGCCCCCATCGCTCTGAACCTGGGCCCCCGCAAATCGCGCCTCCGTCTCGGCAAATCCCCGCTCCCCTTCTCATATTTCACCTGCGCGCAGACGCTCATATTCCTCGGGTGCCACTTCTTGCCCCCGTGCCTGGAAAGTTTCCTCGAAGTGCCCCCCCGCGCCCGCCGTGTCCAGGACCTGTGTCATTATGCTCGCGTCGTCGGCGGATAGGGGCACGAATCTAGCTGCCCCCCCGGGCTCGCAGTCCAACGACGAGCACGGCCGCTCCCGCCCCCCCGTAGCCCCCGCCCTGCACCGCCAGCTACTCCTAGACCTTCCCCGGGGAAGTCAGCCTTCAAATCCCGATGCAAATTGCGCGTGGTGCTCGCGCGATGCCGACTATAAGCTCGCTGCGGCCGCTATGACATCGCCCCGATTTATTCCCTGTATTCTGCGAAGATTGGCCATCGCTCGGGCGCGTCTCGCCGGCGTGCCACATCCCTCCGAGACTTGGCCCGCGGCAGATCTCGCCACCCGAGGGCGCGCGCCCCGAGCGCATGCCATCACCAACGATGAGTCATTCAACTTGGCTGCGGTTAAGGGGGGGTCCAAAATTTCCCCGTGGAGCCTACGTTGGCGGTACGATGATGTTGATAGTGTGGTGATGTTGGGGTCGCTGTCGCCGTCGCCGTCGTGGTCGCATCGCAGGCTACCCGCGGTGGTGTTCGCGCGCGTGGGAATCAAATTTCAAATCGCCGCATTTCCTCCTCGTCGTCCGTCGTCGTCGTCGTCGTTTCGTCCATCGTTCGTTGTTCGTCCGTCGTCGTCGTCGTCGTCCGTCGTCGTCGTCGTCGTCTTCGTGCGTCGTTCGTCGTCGTCGTCGTCGTTGTCGTCGTCTGCTCTGGAGTCGGCGGGGGGGGGCGGAAGCCTTATGTTTTGCTGGGAGCGGCGGGGGGGCGGCGAAGCCCTGGATCTCAAGCGAACGCCCAAGTAGCGAAACGCTACCTCAGCAAGAGGCTCGCAATAGAAAGGGGGCGCGGACATGGCGAAAACCAGGGAATAAGGAGGAGGGTAAGTAGGTAGTAGTAAGTATGCTCGCCTGGGAGGAAGATCGCAAGCCACCTGCCGCGAATGGCGTGGCGCACCTCAATGACGCGGACGGTCTTGTTGCCGTTCCGCGGGTCCTTGCCCGTCCAGAAGGTGGTCTCGCCTGCTCGATGTCTTTGCGCCGCCTGCGCCATCTCCATTGACGTGTTGGGCGCGCTCCACGTGTGGCCGTCTGGCCAAGTGGCCACGAGCCTCGTATCCGGCGGGGCGGGAGCTGCCTGCGAGCACTCGGGGATGTCCGTGCCGACGATCGGGAATCGCCAAGCCGACTGATGTGGATCGACAGAGCTCACCAGATGGCGACTGAACCGAACAAACATCCCACATCCATGTTGGTTCTAGTCTATGTGTTATACTTGCGCGAGCGTATGACACGCTCGATAAAAAAGGCAGGGTGGGTGTTATTCGGTTCCGACGCCGCCTGAATGAACCCCGTCCAACCAAAGTGCCAACCGTCCGCTGTGTGCAAAATCTCGAGCCCACTTCGACTGAAGCGCCTCCCGTTCCTCATCGCGACTCTCGACGGCGTCGGAGCTACAGATGCGGACGAACTAGCCTTGACGACGTCGCACGCCACTCTCGCCCCCCCGCCCTGGAAAACCTGAACGCAACCCTTGAGAAACCTGACCCCTGACTCAGATCGGACCCAGGCTTGTCCCCCGAAGCACATCCCCATGACATGGAGTGAGAGTGAGGCCGACTTCTCCCTAATGTCCTTCGCGTCTGGTTTGGATGTCATCGTCTTTTTCGTGTGATCATTGGCTCTTACCTCGTCCTCCTCCTCGTCATCCTCTTCTTCTCCGTCTCCGTGTTTCGCATCTCCGAATGCATATTGCGCCCACTTTGTTTTCCTGTGCAGGGTGACTGCCCCGAGCTTCGGTTCTTTTTTCGTGATCAGGAAAACGAATCGAATCCATTCCTGCTGGCGACGAATGCCCCGCGTGTTCCCGAGTGCCCCCCCAGCCGTGGTTTCACCCAGGTCTGTCTTGTAAAGCGCCTGGCCGACGTGCCTCAACATGTTTCGCGCCATTCTGTGTGCATCTGCTATCCACGCCTCGGTGGCGCCAGACAGGTGCCACGACGGCTCGTGCCGCGCCGCCACGCGCCTCAAGACAGCCTGAGCGGAGAACACCGTTAAAACCGGATGCCCTAAACATCTGAAAGCCCCCCTGCCCCCAAGAGAATCGAAACTCAGGTGCCTTAGCGACGATTGGCTTCACTTTAGTCTGCACCTGTCTGGTCCCCACCAAGAAATCTGCGTAGCGGAGAAGGGTTTTCTTAGACATCTTGGCGTCGTGGATCTTTGCCGTGGAATACGATATTGAATCTGCCTCGGCAAATCCCGGTCACACGAGTTCGGCATTTACGAATTGTTTCGGATGCGGAGGGGGAGGAGGAGGAGGGAGGAGGAGGAGGAGGAGGAGACGGAGGAAGAATCGGTGGAAGAAGAGGAGGAGGATAATGTAAATGGGAATGGGAGCGGGGGCGACGAGGAAAGGCAGTGGGACGATTGATGTCTAAGGATTGTTTCCGAACCCCTGAGACGGACGTTTGCGACGCGCGCGTGCCTGGCTGATGTGGAAGGCCCATATCCGAAAGAGTTGATCCTCCTTGCCATGTCCCATTCGCGGCCCGTCTGTGTGCGAGTTCGTATCTACATATCTCGAGCCATCCCCGCTACGGATGCGACAGCGGCAGCGGTGCTTATGACGACGACGAGGGGCCCCCAATATCAGACGGCCTGGCATGGCTATGCAGGGCGAGGGACGGACAGCACGCACGGACGACATCTGACAATCACACGCAACGGCTGTCACGATCGACTGAGGAGGCTGACGACAACAACTACGTCAAATCGGAGGGCGACGTCGATATCGGAAGACGGTGTCGAGGTGGAGGAGGAGGACGACGAGAT